GATGTTTCATCCACCAGCTTCAATCTGACTTTATCAATACCAGCTATCCAACAAGATTTGTTGTTACCCATAACAAAGATACCTTGCGTCACCGTTTCATATATTTTAAACAAATCCCAATTTGGACACTTGTCAAACGCATAAACTGTATCCAATATGCACTCCTCTTCAATAATACAAAACTCTAGAAAGAATATAATATTTATAGGGATACATGCCAAACTCTAGAAATACCACAAAGATAGAAATACGATTAGAAATCACGTGGAATAAACGAAAAATTATTTTATTAAAATTCCAACCTAATTTTGGTAAAAAAAACCCAACAATATTTAGAAGAAATATAAGCTCCCTGTACGACGAATTTCGTCTATTAACATACAGAAATTGTTATAAATTGTATCTTTGAAAAATACAAGTGATGCGAACTTCTTTTGATTGCAAAGTTGCAAAAATCATCTAATTAATGATCTGATTGTTTGGAGACAAGGGCTACGTGGCTTGAATTATAGTTTTCGAAAATTTGTTGAGACATGATTTGTTTGGTACTTGGATTTTGTGGTTTGGACTTGAACTTGAATTTGATTTGAAGACTTTAATCTTCTTGAACTTTGCGTGAACCTGTTTGATTCGAATAATATTTTGATCTTCTTGAGGTTCATTGAATTTGGATTCGAGAGGATTTTTTCTCTTCCTTCGACTTTGAAATTTCTTCAGCACTTCGTTATTGTTTTCTATGCTTTCACTTCTTCTTGCTTTTTTTTTCTTCTTTATAGACCATTGGTTCATTTATAGGGAAATTTCCGTGCTAATTTTTGTAATACTAAATTATATTTAATTAAAATGAATAATTGAGTAATAGGAAAGAAAAGAAGGTAATAGGAACCCCTTCACAAGGAAAACTTGAACCTATTACTGGTAATAAAGATATTCAAGATATCAAAAGAGAAGGTAGCTCTTCACAGAGCCAAACTCAATCCAAACTTTCTATTGAAAGGATAGATCCAAAAGATATTGTCAAGATATGCCATGAAACAAAAATTCCCAGAAAAGATAACCATGAAGAAGCAACACTCTTTATTGTTATTTTCAATATTTTATCAGATTGGTATCTGGAGATTGGAAAGTGGATGAAGACTCTCCACTATTCAAAATACAACAAGATAAATTTTTATTCAGGAGCACCAGCCAACTGGGTACGAAATTGTTTTGAGATAGGAAATATACTTTGTATATATCCTAGCAAAGATCTTAAAGAGATAGCTCAGCTTCCAGCCAACGTCAGGAAAGTTGTTAAAAGATATACTGAAGTCGTCAAGACAACAAATATATATATATCAGATTCCATTCAGCAACCATGGAATGGGATCCCGTTCTTGAATATATGCATCCATCGTTCCATGTGATAAAAATGGGACTTACAAATCAACATTTTTTACCAACCAATCAAAAGGTTGTTAAAAATGGATATCAAGATATTGTAAATATGATGCCCTACAGAAGAGCAAAATGGTACAAAGAGATATTTGAACATATAACTCAGATAATTACTGAGAAAGAAAAAATATGGATTTATCCATTTGAAGATCATATTATCTATTCCAATGCAAAAATGGCCACCAAGGAAGAAGATATTTGTTATTTCAATCATTTATTATCTACAATTATTTCTAACCAAGTGTATGAATCAGAAGATATGGTTAAATAACTATGCAAATTACTCTGGAACTACAGTAATCACCATTGTGAATATTGTGTTGTTGAAGATATGAGTCAAGCATCTCTTAATAGTGAAGAATTCCCTGCAGAATTCTTTGATTCGAAAATGAAAAAGTGATGGTGACAAAAGTAGCCATTTATCACTACTTTAATAAAAAAATTTATTAAAGAAAAATTGTGGCTACTAAAAAACAGAAGATAGTGCAAGAAAAGTCTCCATAATTGTGACTACTCCCCACCATTTGTCACAAGTGACAGACAAACTCAAAAGATAAGACATATAATTTCAAAAGGAGAGGTCCACTTAGCAAGAAGATAATGGAAAATTCGGTGGAGATAAGATGGCCTAGCTACCCAACAAAGAAAGGGGAAAAACACCTGTCAAGATAAGATTCACAAAGGCTTCTATAAAAGGAGGCAATGAGGAAGAAGGAAGACATATCGAAATAACTTATCTCTTAAACACTCGGAGGAAACACATCTTAGAGAGATATCTTTTGTAATCTATATACACCACTTGTATTCAGAAAAATATTAAATAGCTTGAAGATAGTAAAGCGTGTAATAAGGTAATCACTTATGGAGTTCTAAATTTCATAAGGTGAGTACCAAAGGTATGTAAATATAGATTGTAAGTATGTACTATTTCAGTTTATGAATATCAAAGTAAAGTTTGTTATGTTCAACAAAGTTTTCATAAAAGGATTTCGTTAAATTTCTCATGATTCTTCGGCAGTACAGATAGAGATTTTAAAAGATTTCAAAACATTGAATTTGAATGGATGTTAGCCATGCTAAAGTACCCGTCTTTGAAGAATGGTTTAGGGGAAAAAGGTAAATTTCTAACAAAATTGTAGCACCTTATGTGTGAGTTATCTTTTAAAATTTCGTTCCAAGTAGGAACTTGATTCTGAAAAGAGTTTGGATAGAGGTGAAAATAGAGACTCTGGATACTGTGAGATAGCGTCTGTGGAAACACGACTAGTTCTCTAGAATGAGAAATGCAACCTTAATTGAAAAATCTTTTGCGGAAGCAGTTGTGGACCCAAATGATTTCAAAAAACATTTTAATCTTTACTTGATTTAGAAGATTGATTAAGTACATGCAAAGCATCTATAAAAGCATACTGAAGGGAAAGCATGTTTACTTCCATTTGATTACTGTAAGTTATTTACTTATTCTTACATGCTTATGCTTTAATTATTCTGATGAACAATTCACAAGCATCCACATCCATTTCTAATAATGAAAATAATCTCATATTATTTTTAGATGAAAAAGATGTTTCGTTTTTATTTAAATTAGCTGAAAAGTCTGAAGATATATTTCCTGTTGGCAAAGAAAAAATTGAAGAAATATATAGAGATATAGATTATAATTGTAAAAATAATATAGGATTTAATTTTGTAGGAACTAGTAAAGAGATAAGAAAGATAGAGGATATTATAACTAAACACAGAGATATACAAGAAGAAATTTCAGAAGAATTAGTTCGAGGATATATAACCAAAAAAGGTCAACCTAGGATCTTTGAAGAACTACTAAAATACAAAGAATATTTAAAAGTGTTTGAAAGATTGAAAAATATAGATATAGGTCCTGATTAATAAATCCTTAAAGATATAAGATATATCTTGCAAATAATTATAGTAAGGGTAAAATAATATTTCTTATAGAAAAGGCCATTGTGGAAAATTGGATCAATTATCCAGCCATTTTAAAAATTGCCCCATTTTTGTGTTCTCTTTCCACTTGATTTTGCAGGGATTTTTTTTTTTTCCAACAAATATCCACCACCGCTACTCATATTAAAACTAGTCATGCCACATGAAATAGAGAACCTAAGACATTTTTAGCACGTTGACTTAAATATGACTGAAAGAGATTAAAAATCGTTGTTGAATTTGATAGCCTCTGGGAATATGATTGAAGAGTTGTCAAAGTATAGGCGAGCTCTTGCTGAGGATGGGAATGTATTGGAAACTAAAATTTAAATAAATGTATATATTTTTTAATTTCTAATAGTTGCAAACATTTTGAGTTCGATACTTGCTTCCAATTATCCATGAAAACTATGCATGATAAAAAATAAAAATAAATAAATAAATAATTGTTGAATTTGATATGTAAGTGATGGCACATATTGAAGAAAAAATTTACTAAAATAAATTTGATTTTTTTATTATTTAAATTTGTAGATGAAATGGGTCTATTGTACAAATATAGTCATTATTGGAATTTATAGGAGTTATTAATTTCATTGACGTTTTACTCCCATTGATATCGTAAACAAGTTGTGAGCCACTCATCGCCACATATCCATAAATGCTTAGTACGTAATGTTTTAGGCGTAAGAAAATTATAAAATAAACCAAAAGAATTTATATTCATGCTAGGCAGCAGGCCCCCCACCTCTAAGGGAGCCAGAAATTTTTTCAGGACATAAATTTTTTATTAAGACAAATATTTTTTTCAATTTTCCTCCCAAAGTGCAGGTTTTCCAATTTTTATAGTCAATGTGCATGGATATCCAACATAGAATATATCCAACTCGAATGGCCAACTTTTCTTCTCCCAAAGTTGAGTGCACTCAACCATACATGGCTCTGGCCCTGTCTAAGGGTACAACCTTTATAATCCAATAACCCCTTAAAGCATCTTAAAATATAAAATATTTTCAATTTTAAAGAGTTAACTTTAAAAATGATACTCTAATAGATTCTTTAAGTTAGTATTTTAAAATAGATGATGAGTTTGACTCTTTAAATTTAGAGGATCAAATATACTCTCTACAATTAAATACATTCAAAATATTTCAATTTTCAATGGAGAAAATAATATTATAATTTAGACAGAAGCTAATGAAAATAAAGAGAGAAAAAATTAAAAATCATTTTTTGGAAGTAGTAAAATTAAGTATTAAATATAAAGAGTTTATTAAAGAACTTAAAAGTTTTTATTTTTAAGATTTATAGATGCTCTCTAAAAATTGTAAAATATATGATCTTTAAAAATAGAATCTCTTAGTATTGAAAAATTGGAATTCGTGTGCTTTATTTTATTTTTTCTTTAATTTGGGGTGTTTGAATTATAATTGCCTTGTCAAGGATATGTCAACGGTTTCTTTATAAAATAGGGAGAGAGATTATTTTCCAGATAAAAACAGTTTATAAATTTTGCTGTTTTTGGTCAATCCAGATGATGAAGCCTATCCTTAAGCAATGAATTTTTGGTCTTATGGTATAATTACAATACAACTCACTCTTGCAATCAGTTTATGCTGAAATAGCACTTAACGTATTTAAAAATACGCGTGCCATGATTTCCAAGGAAGTCATTGGATTCAGAAATTATTATTACATTCTCCTACATTAAAATTTAGCAATATTCATTCATCTTTATTTTCAAATACCAAACCCTAATACATGAACTAATGACCAATCATCAACCCTAATGGAGTTGTTGGAAAACCCCTTGACAAGACTTTGGGGTGGAGTGTGGTGTAGGGTGGGGGTCATATCAGACCCTGTGTTTCTCGATCTTCTTCCCAAGTTCTTCTTTGTTGGCTCCAACAAGCTTATCAACTTCTTTTCCTTTCTTTATCAGCAAGAAAGTTGGCAAAACATGAACTTCAAATTCCTGAGCCACATCCTGTTTGCATTTATCCATTTTAATCATAAGTATATAAGTTAAATAAAATGGGAAAAGTTAAAATTTCAAAGCGAAAACAAAAAGACCGTACTTCCAACTCATCAATGTCAATCTTGATGAACTCAACATCTGTATATTTAGTAGCAAATTCATTCATGGCAGGTTCCATGTATCGGCAAGGTCCACACCATGAAGCCGTGAAGTCAATGACCATCTAAAACCGGAAATTAAAATCATTAGTATCAGCTAATCGTAGTATTCGGATTCATTTAAAAGCTTGAGTTGTTAACAGCAGACGCGTTTTATTAGTTATCACGTAAACAATTTTCATAAATGGAATATTTGAACTTAGTCCTTTGTTTTGTTCTGATAGCATATTAAACCAGTTCATCTAAAAGCTTAAACAATTACTAGATTTGAAGTCAGCTTTGAGGCTTCAAAATGGATCTTCCATTTCGAGGAGGAGTGGTATGCAATAACCCGACCCTTGTTTACTGATGATTCATTCGATACAATATCCCGACTAGTGTTTGCTGATGATCCATCGGATACAATGCCCCGACCGGTGTTCGCTGATGATCCACTGGATGGAACAATCAGGCCCTTGTTCATTGCTGGTCCAGTGGCTTCATATTCAGTAGAAAAATTAGCCCCCATCTTTCTTTACAAATCCGATGTATTTCTGATGCTTGAAGTTTGCGCTAATTCGAAGTGATTTAGAGTCGAAAAGCTTCTTTATACTAGACAAATGACTAGCCAGGAGGCTTTTTATACTAGTTGATATTGCACTTTTTTCCTTTCCCTGTGCTTAAGAATATGTTCTCGTTGGGGCCCCTGATAATATGGATCGTCCGAGTTAAATAATGAAAAGATTTAGTGCTATGAGCTCTGCAAATTCCAATGTTAGTAGGCCTAATAAAAGTTTCTGCAAAACGAGTGGCGTTGTGGCTTCGAAAAGTATTCGCTTTCTTCGGGACATCCATAATCTGCTCATTTTAATACATAAGCTGGATGCGCCAAATACCACAGGAATGGATTGCCGAATATTTTTTTGATTTGTACATTAAATTGGACGGCATGTACTAGAAAACTGATATTTAGTCCCGTTGAGTATAGCATATATACTAAGATAATTTTTTCTTCCCCGTGTTTAAGGTTGTGCGCGCGCGCGAGGTCACTGCTCTCAGCTTTGAGAGTATCCTAGTGACTCAAATTCAATAGAACAACTTGTATCTTGTTGTGCCTAACTAACAAGGTAATAAATAATATAATACTAAAGATCCGAGCTTTAAGGCGAGGTGGAATGTTTAAAACTTTTAGATAAGACGGTTCTTTTTAGATATGATATTTAGTCGCGGAAAGGAAAAAATTTCTTCCCTTATAGTTTAAGGTTGCTGTGTATTATAATACTAAAGATCCAAGCTTTTAGTTGAGACAGCTTCTTCTGGAAGAAGTCTGTATGCTTAGAGAAATGGCTTGGTACTCTGGATAAGAGCTCAGCGGATCATGCTCTTTTATTTCATTTAATTTCCATTTCAATTTTGTCTATTGAGAGGGACCTATGGCAGTAGTTTAAGTCGACCACCAGAGATACTCTTTTCTACATTCACTTTTTTCGGGAAGGCTTTTTTAGTGTTACGGGATTATAAAGAAGAAGAAAGCACCCCTATCTACGAACATGTTAAATTACATAAGCTATGGGGTATTTTGATCGTTATAACAATCACAAGGTTTTTGTCTCATTTGTTTTTATTTAAACTATGGTAGTCAATTGTTTTTGCATATCAAATAAGAATGGTCCCTACAAATTGTACTCTGGCAATTTGAGGATTCGATTAATACTAAATACCCCATGTATGAATCCACACGCTTTGTTTGCGTCAGTTTCACAAAATTACAAAGACCCACTAAATGTTTGCTGGACAAAGAGATAGTTGACAAAATCTTAGGAAAATCAAAAGAATAAATTACGATGCGCCAAAAACCGCTGATATATCGACACATAGATTTCATTGGTGTTCAGGAAAATATTCCATACAGAAGTTTGTGGTTGGTTAGCCGTAATTAGACGTCGGCAATGGCTGCGGAGCATTTCCTATCCACCAATACGTTTCGCTTCCATGACATTCGATTGGGAGCAACATATTTTCGCATGAACATATTCGTCCCAGGAATTGATTCATTTTACATTTGCTGACAACTTGCAACAATTTAACGCAGGACACGACGTCATAGAAATGATCAGCTTGATTTTTAAGAAATTGTGAACGTGACTTTTAACGATCGCTACTCGATTTTCTAACAAAAATTTCTCTGACGTCTTTTATGGGCTCATTTTTGGCTTCAGCTTCTACGAGAAGGGTTTCCGCGAGGAAATTACGTATCTTAATAAACTTTTTTTAACCAAGCAAAATACTTTCAAAAAACTATTCAAAAGCAATTAGTTTCTTAGTTTTAGAAGAATCTTTTAACTTTAAAAGAAAAAAATACTGCCAAATGGGCCTATATATGTTGAAGTAATTGTCTTAAATTTAATTGAAGAGTAGACATGCATGTTCAGGCAACTTGTAAACGACACACACTAGTTAAAACATGTATTTCAATTCATTCATTCATTCATTTAGGAAACTTCTATTAAAAGTAGGGTAAATGGTGGGGGAAGATGCTTTTTAATACCCAACGTGTATTCCCAGTTGAACCTTTCCACCCTGTACAGTGCAACGATGTTCTTAAGATAATTTGTCTAATTCAAGAATAATTATAACGTCATGAAATTCTTTGTAACATTATAAAGTTCGTTTAACTTTTTGTACAGCATAATAATTTGATATTAAAATATGATTTGACTTTAAATCTAAAGGATTTACTATTAGAGAAGGAGCTAGAGTGCGCCAGAGAAAGTCTTATATATATATATGAATCTGTTTGTAAGTGATTTTGAGAATTGATTTTTTGATCATTAGAAGAAAAGTGGGATCCATATGTGGGAGAAAAAGTCAAATATAACGATTGAAATAATGAAATAACGATCAAAAAATCAATTTTTTAAAGAAAAAAATCACTCCTAAACAGATTGTATATATATATATAATTAGTTAGTTAAAAAAATGTAATAAAAGCAGCCATAAAGTAGGACTCCAATAACCCCATTAGATATTGTATTTGACAAAAATAAAATAAAATAATTGCCAAGTAGCTCTTACATCACCCACTTATTTTGACATTTCTATCTTTTTAAAAGAATATTTCAATAGAAGTAAAATTGATTCCTAATTAGTGCCTTATGATTTTCCGTATGATATTATATATCTCATTAAGCATCAAATTAGCAGACAACAAAATCCAAATCTACAAAAATAATGAATCAAAGCTCTGGCTGTCAAGCATTTTGCGTCAATTGATTAAAGAGACTTTAAATGCAAGGTTAATTTACACCAAAGGTTCAAAAGATGAGTATGCATGAATAATTAATTATTTTTTAGATTTTCCGTAAGTAATAATTAGATTGGGCACTACAATAGATCAATTTTAGCTTCTTGGTATACCTTATAATATTGTATTTTCTAAAGAGCATGTAAAAGATGAGAAAGTAAATTTTACTTATAAAATAAGTAATTTTGGAAATTATGTTTTGTAAATTAAGTTATTTAAAAGCAAGATTCTAAAAAGATGTAAAGCATAGCAAGATTGCAAGGTCGATAAGAATGTAATACTTTATTCGATGGATCCAAAAATACAATCGAAAATCTCCCAAACTATACATTACTAAAAATTCATTAAATTCACATTAACTTCCAAATTTAGCTCGAAGTTTCTAGATTGTATTTAATAAATATAATAATCCACAAATGGCCTTGACAAAGTTAATTAATAACCCGAATATCTCATCACATTATTTGACTATAGGACGACCATAACATTTCTTCACTTGCTATTCATCGTATCATGTAACCTTGTCATTTATGGTCACATCGTATAACTTCAAACATTTGATTATACCTATTTCCTTAGGATCACAAAAATAGTGCTCTTTATAACTATCAAGCAACATTTCACACATTAATATACCATCAAGATTCCATATGCAAAATTTTCAATCACCATAATTTTCAACTATGCCATTCTTTACTTCAACATATGATTACTTTACTATAATTCAAGAATGACAATCCATGTGCATTTATTCAACTCCTTCCTTTCATACCTTTTACGCAATTAACATAGATACACCGATTCAATATTTTCTTTCTTAAACAACAATTTACCCCCATAATAAGTAGTCCTTATGAAATCTATCAATATCTTTTTCACATCTCTTATAATCAAACAACCCGTAAATAATCAAAATGATCGGAGTCACATAAATGTCATTTTGCTCAATGAATAACATAAATAATAACACATTATTCGCTATCGATCAATATTCAATATAATAACATTATTAATCCGTCACGAGATTCTTATCATAGATATACAGATACACACCACCATAATTTCTATCATTCTCTCATATGAGTGGCTACAAATTACCACAATCTCTAATGATACTAATGATCATTTAGTTTCCCAAAATCATTAAGATTACTCATACGATTGTCATCAATTACACATAATATCATTCCTTTTTATTTATCGTGCTAATTATAACTAGAGATTTTCCTATATTTATGTTAAAAAAACCATATAATTCGATACTTAGGCAACTGTGTACTCCATTCCTTCGAATGTATATTGATAGATAACCTACAAAATCATTAAAACTCTAATTCCAAACTGATATTTGTTCCCAATTGCACCCTTATTGAGTAATATGTTACATACACCACTGTACAAATCCAACAACTTATAATATTGTCAACCATTACGTCATTGCAACTGATATACTTACATACTAGTCATTTCTGAATCTGTTAAAAATATTTCCCTCACTTAAGTTCCAAACAATCTAGAAGCAAGAACTTGAGAGACTGTGATTTCTAGCACCACGACATGTGACCACACACACTGAATATGCATGACATACCAATGCATGAACAATGAAGACTTTCAAAACTTTATAAACCATGCTCTGATACCAATTGACACAACCCATCCTGAATCACCTTAATGAACCAACACGTGTCGTGTGTCGATGGTAGATACCACCTAAGAGACGAATCCACCACCAAGGCAACTCTGACTTGCTTGACTGAAAAATATTTTTAACAGAATTTTGGCAGAGTTTCCTTGGAATATGAAGTAAAACCATCTAAACAAGAATCAATTTTCTCAAATCCGTTCATATAATTTAAAATAGGACACACTAGTCCCTTAAAATACAAACTATTCAAAATAGAATACTGGCAAGTTGATATTTACTATGCTTTACAAACAAAAGACACCAAAAATATTAAGGATACCAAATTTGTAGTGAGCCCAAGATATGGACACATGACTTGCTAATTAATTTTTCTGACAAACAAACATGTGTGCCAAAGAAAAAATATATAAATTCCATAGATTGACAAAATGAGTCATACAAATAATGGCAATGTGTGTGGCTCAATTCGATGGATCGACAGGCTCCAAGGCTACTCAACTCTGCTACTATCTGCTTAGAAAGAGGGTGACAAAACATGAGCTTGTAACACAGTGAGTGGATGGTTTGCAAATAAGTATACTTTTCTCGTTTATGAATATTTTCTTTAAATTCTTACTCTATTAAAACTTTAAGAAATTCTAAAATCTAGTAACTCTTTTAAAACTAAATATGATTGCATCATAAAATTCTTTGTTCTTAATTCTAGATAAACAGCTATAAAGTATAACAAATATAAATAATCTGATATCAGTAAATATAAGTGAAAATATCATTTCACAATACTATAAGCTGAAATCATTACTCTACAAACTAAATAAGCTAAATTCTGTAGTCTGAAATTTGATAAATTGTATAATACTGAAAATCACACCAAAAAGGTGCTCAATGAATAGCCTTACTCTTAAACAAAGTAATCTCGATATACAAGGTAAAGCCATTCACATCTGATAATCTGGTAATACGTATGCAGTACTGCCCCAAGGATAATCACCCTAGTACACAGTCCAAAGCCTATGCGTGTACGAGAGTAGGTCCCAATGTGTAACGACCTGGGTCTCTTTATCCAAGCCGTTAGTTTACGTACTGTTCTCTTTGGGTGGGCCTTGCGCTCACTTACCCTCACGGCTTTCTATCGCGTCTTCAGGATGCGAACTCATAACATTCCCTTAAGTAAGACTTCACTTGCCCAATTGGTACCAGGATTCAATTTAAGCATTACTTAAGGAAAAAGTTATGAGTTTGAATCCTGGGGGACGCGACAGAAAGTCGTGAGGGGTAAGTGGGTGCAAGGCCCATCCAAAGCGGACAGTACGTAAGCTAACGATTTGGGTAAAGAGATCCGGATCATTACACAAAGATCTCTGATAATCTGGTCATACACTATGGAAATACATTCACAATATTGCAAAGCGGGTAAAATCACCATAACTAGTCATACACTGTGGAAACACACTTACACCAGTACAGACTAGGGTAAAATAACCATAACTGGCCATACACTATGTAAACATATTCACACAAGTGCAGACTAGGGTAAAATCATCTAGGCACTTTTTGGTGATTTTACAAATAACTTTAAATATGCTGAAATATTTAATTTTCATATAACTTGCTAATCAAATGATTTAATTGAACTAAATTTAACTTTAAAAACAACTGATTATAAATCCACTTTATTCTAAAAATCATGTTGTCAAATCAACTGTATGAAATAACAAATTTTTTATTCTAACATAAATCTAATAAATATTAATTTCTGAAAAATGAGTTTGATATCCACTCACTAACTTATAGACTGATAATTATTTCAATCTTCTCGTCATCTCCTGAAATATGATACAAGATAATCAATTTAACAACCACTCTATCAAATATCCTTAACTTTTAACTACGAAATACTAGAACTTGACTTCTCGACACTTGGATATATTCTTTAATTTCGTTCACAATTGGAACTAAATCTACCTTCTAGTCCTTTCACCAAAATCTAATTCATCAAAATAATCTCCACTTCAACATAAAAATAATTCCTTCTTCCAAACTAGTAAAACTAATAATTATAATTTAACCAATTTAATTTTCCATCTTGATCCATAAATTCATGCCTTCAAATGAGTATTCCATTCTACAATTATTCCGGTTAACTATACTCATTCAAAAATCCAAATAAAAATTTTAGGTTTTCTCCAGAATTGGTATTTCTTACCTTAGTGTAAGTAACCTTCCCAATTCAAAAATATTGGTTTGCAAACATATTCCTTCCTTCAATCTAAAAATTAAACCAATAAATCACAACCCAAAAAAATTAAGCATAAAACATACTAAGAAATTTGTCAAATTGAAGATGAAATTGAGATAGCCAACCCTACCTCTTTTCCTGTCTTTTTTTTCCTTCTCCTTTTTGCTTTCTATCTTTTGTTCTTTCTATCTTTCTTTTATCTTTTCTTTCTTTCTTTCTTCTCGATTCTTCCAGCTTCTCTGCCCTGTTTTCAGATCTATGTCTGTATATATCAATTGAAAATGATTAAATAGTTGATCATTTGCCACTTGGAATCCACTAATGCCCTCATTTGCATTTAAGTCCTCCACTTCCATATAACATCACATTAAATCCTTAACTTCCATTGGATATAAAATCTAACCACTTTACTTTCAATAATATATAAGTAAATCTCCAAAATTAATTTTTATCCATCTTAAACCTTAAAATATTGTCAATTTATAAAATAAACCCCAATAAGATAATTTGGTCAATTAAGTCCCAATAAAATTATATATTTCATTTACGTTCCTATTTGATTTTGACTTTGAAAATTCAACTCTTGACTTTAACTAGAAATGAGGGGTGCGACACTTTCACCCTAATATTATTTGCTTATGCCAATATTGCTCTTGTTTTTCTAGTAAGAACATTAAGTTTTGTAACTCAAACTTCATATTTATTGGTGAATTTTTTCCCAATAAAAAGGGCTTATAGTAAACCTTATTTTTGGTAATTTAACGGTAACTAACGTCCCCTTTAATTCCAAATTACACCATTATTATCCTATATGATTCATAATAAAACTCAATAGTTTCTTCTTCTCTTAATCATCACACCACATAATTACCAGATGAATGGTGCAGTTATTGTAAGAGTAAATTATGGTTCATGGTGTTGGTGAGCATTGTAGAGTTTGGGATGAATATGTTGATCATTTTGATCATCACAATTTCGAGAGTAGAAGTTTACTGCCTTCTTAAAAACAACTTGTGAATACTTTCCTCATTCGGCAAAAGAAAATGCTGAAAGTTGTTACTCTAACATGTCAGTCGTTTGCTGGTATGCTCTAACCTCCAGTATTTGTCTTCGTAATTCACAGTTCGTTGGCTCCATTATTAGGAAATTTTCTTGTGATTTCATAATTTTTAAGAAGGCGCCCTCTCGACTTTGGAAAATAGTTCTGTTCACTCTTTCAGGTTCTTATTCGTATTCCGTTTTTGCAGCAAATGTCATAATATAATATAATTTACACTTCCCTAATATTGTAGCTTTTTTAAAGTAACGAATATGTAAATCATAATTATTTAATCTTGAGGTGAACTCCAACATCAATAATCCACCCCAAATTAAGTAGAATTTTTGAACTTATTTAAGCACTATACTTTTCACTCTGCAAATCTAAACATTCATCTTGAACATCATCACTCTCACAACATCAATACACACAAGAATGTTACTTCCTATTATTTTTTGAACATTTGGAAACATTAAAAAAGGGGAAAAGAAAAAAATATATATATAACATTATCATAAAGCCATGTGCAATCTAGTCTATTATTAATAGGCAAAATTACACAAACACAGGTATTTCAAATTCATTGTGCAAAAATCAACTATAAAGATTTTTAATTCAAAATTCAGGTATTGTAATAATAATTAAATATTACACACCTTATTTAGCCCCCGTTTGAGCCCCATTATTTGGAGATTATAATGTTTTGAATAGTGTTTTTTTGAAAAATGAGTGGTTGAAAAGAAAAGAAATTTTTTTGGTTTACGTGTAATATTATTTTATTGAAAATTGTGTGATTAAAAATAAAAGAGAAAAAAAATTAATTTAATTTAATGAGAAATAATGGGGGCCAAACGGGGGCTTAATTCCATACTAACCAAAAATCATTTTTCTCCCCCTATTCATCTTTGTGCCATTTCTCCCCACACCCGTCACCAACCCAAACTGGCGATCGGCAACCATTGTGCGAGACGATAGGCACATCACCGACAACTGGCTCTCTCTCTCTCGCTCTCTACGGTGCAGTTCGACGAGAAGAAATAGAGGTATGTTGTAGTGGAATGTACTGATGATATTGCAATATCGGCAATGAAGTAGCCAATGGAGTTAGTGGCACTGAAGGTGAAAATGGTGGTGGAATCGGTGAAGAGATGGTTGTTGGAAAAATGGTTATGAAATGGGTCAACTTTGAGCCCAAATTTCAGTGGGACCCGCATCTTAATAATTACTGGACCTAGTATATTCACGCTCTACTCCGCAAGGTGATAACGTGGTATATTTATTTATCGAAAACCATTTAGAATTGAATGAAATATTTAATGTCATTGGAAGACTATTGTTAGAGTTTTAGGGTATTTAAAACATACCCAAAATTTTGGATTGAACTATTCGAGATATCCAGCAGTACTTGAAGGATACTATGATGCAAATTGGATATCAGATACTAAAGACTCCAAATCAATAAGTGGATATGTCTTTACACTTGGAGGTGCTGCAGTATCATGAAAATCTTCAAAACAGACGTGTATAGCTAAATCAACAATGGAATCTGAATTCATTGCATTAGACAAAGCTGGAGAAGAAGCCGAATGGCTACGAAACTTTGTAGAAGATATTCCATGTTGGACAAAACCTGTGCCTGCTATATTTATCCATTATGATAGTCAATTAGCAATTGGTAGGCGTACAACGGTAAATCTCAACATATACATCGTAGACACAATACTGTTAGACAATTGCTCTCTATTGACATTATCTCTATAGAATATGTGAAATCAAAAGAGAATATTGCGGATCCTCTAACTAAAAGTTTAACAAGAGAGCAAGTCGAAAGTTCATCGAAAGGGATGTGATTAAAACTAATAAAATAATCAAAAATTTCCATGGTCGCAACCCAACCTAGTTGACTGGAGATCCCAAGATCTAGGTTCAATGGGACAACCGAACTATGAAAAACTTAGTATGCACTGGGAAGATTTTTACTCTTACCCATTCCTATGATGAGCCAGTGCCTAGCTGCCACGAAATATGTTAAGATACGTTTTTAATGATTTCTATATCTTGATTCGTTTAAGTGGAGTATAGCAGAATACTCTTTATGGAAATCACCTATGTGAGTGAGAAGGGGCCACTTCTAAGAGAATAAGGTGAAGATGAATTCTCTAAAAACCACTCATGAACCAGGAGGTGTCCAAGGACAAAATGGACACAAACGTGAGAACCAACTGTGTTCGAAGAGAACTGTGTGACTTCTATTGTTTAGGTTTCCATGAACGGCTGACTGTTTAAAGCAACTTGCTACTGATTGGCTAAGGAAATCCGATAGATTTTACTAGGGAAAGTTCAAAGTCATCGACTATTTATCCCGATGCAGTTTTCTTCAATTTTTACTTTGAGAAACATAACAGATGTTATTGTTTGGAGAAAGGCCACATATTTCATTCATGTGGGGGATTGTTGAAAAAATGATTTTGAAATGGGTCAACTTTGAGCCCAAATTTTAGTGGGACCCACATCTTAATTAATACGGGACCTAGCATAGTCACGCTCTACTCCGCAAGGTGATGAACGTGGTATATTTATTTATCGAAAATCATTTAGAATTGAATGAAATATTTAATGTCAAAGTAACCCACTTGAAACTATGAATTAGTGAAGAATTTGATTTGTCCAAACACTTATCCCACATAGGAAAGTTATGAAACTTTGGTGTGGTTTATATGGTGCAAGTTTGGGAATTGGGTTTGGGCCCCAAGGGGTACCAATAGTTTTTGGAAGGGGCAAGACCTATATCCTATCGGGTTCGGTCATAAGCCCACACACGCGCACCGTCACCGTCGGTCGGCTCGGCTCGGCACGGCACGAGCACGTGCCCGTGTTCGAGTCCGGTTCGGTGCGGGTGCGCCCTTGCACTATATTAATTTTTTGGACAAAATTTATTTGAATTTTTGGACCAAATTGTATACAATCAAATTCTTGGGTACTTATTTCTGGGTAATTTTTTTTTGATGGTCTGTTAAACAGTCGATTCAATGGTTAACCAACTTAACAGACGCAGTTTTGAACTAACATGTCTGTTGGAGTTTTGGAGGCTGTCTGAACAGTGACGACTGTTCTAAAGGGTGTTCGAATGGCCATGAACAAGTCTATAAATAGCCTGCCCCGCTGCCAGAAAAATTACACTTTTTTCATTGCAAACTTTCTGTGCTTTGAATCTTATTGGTGGGCTCGAATTACATGTTGATCCTGTTGATCATTTCTTACATTCAAGTGATTCTGTCGGATTGTTTTCGAAGGAGTAACTTCAAACTCTAGAAACAAAAATGGTGACTATGTTTGGGGAAGAAATTTTCAATCTTAGTTCGTCCGGGTTTTGGCAATGAGATTGTGGAAGTCAGTGAATTGGCGATCGATAGGATTGATTGAACGATGTTGACTGGTTGGGGCTATAGGATCTTTGATGAGGATGGAAGTAGCGCGATAGATCTATGGAGTGGCTGTCGGCGAGGTGAAAAATATTGGCAGTGGTATGGGTTATTGATGGCCATTGGACGCGATTTGGTGCTCGATGATGATGATGCCATTGCTGTGATGACCCTACTGTAACGATATAAGCATCGTCGCTTGGATCTGTGACTCCTTGAAGTTACTCTTCCCTCTCTTTATTGCTTTTTCGACATCAATCTTAGACGATGTAGGTGCATAGCTGCAAGGTGGTGTGAGGACATCATTGGGCAATTGTTGGTGGATGGTGATAATGGTTTTTGCGTAGGTGGAGATGGCTGCTATGGTGTAGTGATTGGCACTTTCTCAATGTGGCTGCTACCGATGGTGTTTTGGAATGGTTTTAGGTTTGTTGAGGGTTTTCTGTGGTTTTTGTTGGTTGTACAGATAGAGGTGCTGGCAGCGATGGTGGATTTGACGGTGATAAGGGGGAGCGTGATGGTGGTAGGGGCTCTAAGGACCTTGGCGATGGGGTTGGCTACTGATTTTTTGTTGGTTGTACATGATTTTTTTCTTTGTTTTTTGGGAGGTGTAGCTTGTTATGGTGGTGGTGGTGGTTTGTGACTATTTTTGTGGTGGATGTTGATGATGGCGATGATGAGGAAGGAGGCAGTGGTGGGTTTGGGATTTTTTTATTTTTTATTTTTTAGATGGTGTGGTGATGCCTATGTTGTTAGCGATGACGGGGTTGGTGGTGGATCTGGTGGTGATGACGTCGTGGAAGTGGTGGTGGTGTCGGTGGTGTTAGTGGTATGTGACCCACTATTTGGTGTATGCGACCAACTATTTGATTCTTTGTGATCAACTATTAAACTGTGGCCTAAATATTCAATAATTTGCGACTAAAAAATAATTTGTGACCAACAAATTTGAGAATATGTGACCGATAGATAAACTATGACCTAATTTTTTATCCGTGATCTCAAAATAAACTAACTTATAAAATTTTTAATTTGTATCCTCAAAATAATCCGTGACCAATAAATAAGTTATGACTTATAATTATATACATGTGACCATTAATCATATAATTGTGACATTATTATATTTAATTAATAAATATTTTTAATTAAATAGTTAATACCTGAATTTTGCATTTTGAAACTTGAAAATTGAATTGTGTCATAGTTGACACCTGATTTTTGAATTTTTCCCTTATTAATATACCAATTTTTAAATTAAATTAATTGAAGCAATTGATTTTATGGCCTAGGTTTACTAGTATTCCAATAGCAAAGTGAGAGATGCTATAGTACCAGATTCATTTGAACAAGTTTTGTACAGGTAAGTGAGTGTGGTATTATTTGTGCTATTTTTTTAATTGGGTGGAACCCATCCCATTATGAGTAATCTGTAAAAAATCTGGAGGAATCAATCTGGTTGAATAGCTTTCTCCTAATAAAGTATCTTCTATTCCATAGTTTCCGCCAACGATAAAATTAACATTTTCTCTTACCATATGAAAAATGTTGAAATTGAGAAACATAGTTGCATTATGTCTAAAGCATAAAAGATCATTTTTATTTGAATATTTTTCTTTTTTGTAATTTTATAAATTTTCAGATTAGTAGATGTTATGTTTTTAATTTAAAATGGTAACAGCGATTGCATTGTCTTAGAAAAATATTTGATAATACTTATAAAAGTAAAAATAAATTTTGTAATACTAATGATGATGATGATAAACAAAAGAATATAATTAAAATCAACATCCTTTTTAGTAATTGACGTATGCTAGCACTAAATCACATATATACTAAACACTCAAATGTTGACTTTGAAACATAAAGCAATTTTTGAAATAAAAGTTTATCAAATCAACTTGTTTGATTCTCCCCTTGGCGGGTCCTTTTTATGCAAAGCTACAGCTTATTTTCTTAAAATACTCGACAATTCCAAATTAACCTTAGTCTATCTGTGAATTATCCCCCAACAAAATAATTATTAACATGTTTCTCCTTTGGCCCACAGGGACGGACACAGAAATTTTTAGTTAGATGATACGATCAAACTCTATACAAATCGAATACTTTGTTATTAATTTTTGAATAATTTATAATTGATCCGAAAAAATGAAGATTTACATTTAAAAACAATTCTTGATTAATATTCTGCTCATCATTTTTATCCATTTGATTTCGAACAATTATTTTATTAATATTTTGCTCATTACAACAAAATTTATATTTACATTTAAAAAATTTATAATATAATTAATACAAACAATCAATTCAAGTGATCAAAAGAAAAAAGATATTACCACTATTCAATCAAATAAATACAATTCATTAAATATAAGTTAAATTGGATATGATCAACTCATCCACATTCTATGCACACAAATATGATAGGAGAAAATGCAAATTTATGTTCTAATTAAATTTGATTGAAATGTGAAAATTTATCATAGATGTGATAATTTGCAGAAAAATTATAAATAAATTTTAAAAAAATAGAAGGACTAAAGTTTTGGTAAAGGGTGTGAGGGAGAGAGTAAGAGAAAAGAAAAAAAAAATCAAATGTATTGTAAGTTTGCCCCTTTTTGTTGGGGGTTAAAATCATATTTATAGTAAATTTTGATAAATGTTAAAAAGTTAAGGATTCCATGAAATATGTTATTAGAATTAATTATTAGCTTTAATTTAAAATAAAATTTAGCTTTCAATCAATGCCAAAATAATAATAATAATAATAAATAAAATAAAAATGTTGGGGTGTCACGTGACCCCCTTAGGTCCAACCCTGGTCCAAATTAGGGAGGTTAATCCGGTTTGTTGACTCGAGCAACACAGGGCTCAGCTTAGGAAAAGTTGAGCCAACTCGACTCGTGGTTCATTGAAATTGAGTCTCATTTTCAAGTGTTGACCCGAGCCCGTGTTTTGGAAATAAAGCAACTACGGTTGTCTTTGAATTGAAATGGTAGCTGTACAAATGACTTTTTGATGCCCTTAAAAATATTTTTAAAAAAATAAGAAGTTTAGGGGAGGGGGGAAAAAAAAAGAGAGAGAGAGACAGCTTGGCTCTGAAGGCTCAAGCCGAAAACCTGAGCCAAGCCCCATTTTTTCAATCGACTCGACTCGAGCTTAAAAAAGCTCAATTCATTTTTGCCCAAGCCGCGAACTTTTGCTCGACTCATTTACATCTCTAGTGCAAGTTTGTCACTTTCAGTAGTGTTTTAAAAGGCTTAAAATGTTGCTAGACAACAAGGTCAAGTTCCAAGCTTTTACGAGTTTAAAAGAATCTAGGTGAAGCACATATGTAAAAAAAAAGCAGAAAACTTTGCTATTGGCATTTCAGAATAATGTTTCAACATCCAGTCCTTGTTTGGTGTAGTTAAAATTAATATACTTTAATAAAAGTTAATGAAATGTGTAGTTAAAATTGATAAAAGCTAAAATTTACTGTTTTCAATCTCAAGGTATAAAATGTCCCCTACCTCAGAATGAGCAGATGATCGTAAAGGAGTTCCGTTCATTGGTGTATGTATATAGCTTACCTATAGAAAAGAGAGAACACATTTGTACAGAAATGGGTTTGATAAAAAAAGCAACACCCCCCCCCCCCTTGAAAAATTGTGTCTCATCTGTATAAATTCTATCAATCATCTTCTGTACGTGTAACAAAATGTTACCAATTACAATATTAATTTAAGCACAACTAAATGTCATCAATTATTATTCTCCTTATTTTGTGTATTAAGTAATTTTCATACAATATTTCACGCAAAACATGAAAGATCCAACTTGGAGAGCTTATACAAGAACATAAAATGTCCAATGAGTTTTGTTACAGGTACTGAGGTACCCGAAGTTTGACACTCTGGATTACCTGCTACTCATATGGAGGTCGGAGGCCCCACACCAATAAATGTGTGGAGCCCGACCCCCTCACTCACATGAGGTAACTCCGGGTACAAATAACAAAACTCAACATGAAATAACACAGCATATAAGCATTGCAGTTCAAGAAGATACCGCTATTTCGTTTCTACCAAGACAAATCGAGTACGACGCATACACCTGCACTCAAAAAGTTTTGATCCACCCACCAAAAAAGCTACAGAAGGAAACCTATAACAAGTAAACGACTCGTTTAGTAAAGAAGACTGGACCATAATCGATAGCATTAAAGAGTAAAAAGAAGCTAAAATCTGTCTAATCTAATATCCAATCCAGTCCAACACTTCACATATCAAAAGTAGGGGAATGGATTACAAGGTTTATGAATCTGCTTTAACATGTGCAGCTTCACCGGCATGGTAACCGAAATTCCCACTAAAACCCCGGCCACCCCTTCCTCTGAAATGATTGTTTCGGTGGTAATAATTGCCCGGCTGGTCATGAAATTGGCTGCGGCCATTCTGATAGCCTCCCCTTCCGCTGCCTCGACCTCCACGACCATTAGGATATCCTCCTCTATGGCCACCCCCATTCCCACGTCGTCCACCTCTATAATTCTGATATGACCGTCGAGGAACATGCTGATCCTTTGACTCGATGCCCCAAGAAATTTGCTCTTCTGTATCAGGGTTCAGAGGCTCCATTTCAGGCTTGATTTCAGCAGTGTTTCCTGCTTCTGACTCCACTCCCTGCAACCGAAAGAATAAATTAATAATGAAAATTTTAAAAGGTTTAATTTATTTAGTCTATTTTTAGCCCCTCCTTTTCTGTGAAAAATGAGTACAATAATTTTTGGAAGTGTGACTAAAGAGTGGGAAAAATTTTAGGGTTCAAGAAAAATTATTTTATTCGAAGAATGCGTAGTTAAAAATGATTTGGGATAAAAATGAGCTTTTACAGAATGAGATTCAAACAGGGGCTTAATTTTTAAAAAATAAAATCATCTATTAGGAGAATCAATATAATACCAAATGATGTTCCTCAACATGATCAGATTGATCATCATAAACTTCATTTCCATGCGCTTGTACACTGGGTGATTCTACTTCCTGTATAGAACATTTGAAAACAAGAAAAAAGTGAGAACAGAAAAAAAACCAAAAAAAAAAAAAAAAGAGCCCTCTCCAAAGAATAGAGGAAGAAAATTAGATTAGATCTAGACAGATTACATGATCCCATTAGACAAGAAAACTCAAAAAAGAATATTTGACAGACACAATCAAACACAAATCGGAATTGAGTATTCTGAAATATGACTTGATAATGCTACAGATAGAAGGACCCTCATTAGGTGAGAGTGAACAGTTTGAAGACTGAAGCATCTAATTCCAATGTATATATACCTACTTAACAAGCGCGCGCGCCCCCTTCCCTTTCGCTGCGTATAAATCATCTTTCTTGCACATTAAAACTATCTAAACAACAGGCTTCCATAATGGAGTCGAGTATAGTTTAGTCACTAAGTCGAGCCAACACAAGTCCCACCTATCTCATAATTATTTTTCCAGGAATTATTTCCAATAAGTTGGTAAAGACGAGCAATCAGAGTCAGACCTAACAGGATCACTTCTGGCATGTGTTGGTTTTTGAATTGGAACCATGATTACCGAACTTTAGAATTGAATTTGCCTTTGTAAGTTTTTCATTTCAAGTAGCAAGTTTGCAAAACCCAACAAACGCCCTAATCAGAGATTCATTCAGTTGAATAATTGAATCATATCATTGTCGTTTATAGCAAACTCCTAACCATTCTTCACACGCTGTCCCGCAGCATGTAGAATAAGGTTTTACCCTTGACTGATATCCACTTATGGTGGTGGTGGCATGCATTATTGCCACGACGATTGAAAACGGAAAATTTGCAAAATTATCAACCTCGATCTAGAATCTAGAACGAAAGATGGATAGATTCAAAGATGCTATCAACAAAAAATTGCAGTTTTTGACTTCTATGAATTTTAGTTACTTCAATGATTCTAGAACACGATAACAGGTGAATAGAAATTTTCCTCAAGCCCAAGCTAGGTTCAAATCCTCAAAACAAGAATAAAAATGAAATTCAATCCATATATGCTTGTTTGTCTCTTTTTCCGTCCCTATATCTCCATAGGATTTTTTGTGTAGATTAAGAGATAATAGAAGAAACTATGATGCACCGACACCGAGACCGACACGTGTGTCCAACACGATATGTGTCGAATACGTCAATTCGTGATTTTTCAAAAAAGTACCGATACGACACATCGTCGACACGTTCATTAAATTCTCTAAAATTCTTCATTTATATAGTTTAAATTTAGTTTTATACTTATTATTGATTTTTTTTTTTATATTTTGTTGAAATCTTTTAAATATGAATATTTATTTGTTATTTACTAATAACTTTGAGTTAAAAATATATAATAGCTATATTAAGAAAGAAAAATGATTATTATAGAGTTTTCGAAGAGTATCAATATCAACACGTGTCGGACACGAACATGTTGCCCTAGTTAGATTGTCCGTGCTACATAGAGAAGAAAGAAGTCCATAGTGTGTGTGTGAAAGAGAGGGAGGGAGGGCACAAATGCCACCATCTACAATTTTCCTTCCTTTAAAATGGTTTTTGCTGATCAAGAAGCTATTGTTCACCACCAAATAACAAATTCGACAATGCATTCACATGGCCAGCAAACTATGACAATACTTCGTAGGGTTAAGAAAGAGAATTAGGTTGTTTATCATGAGCTTAGAAGATTCTGTGGTTGGAAAGAGAAAAGCCAAAATGCAACAAATTTTATACAAGGCACCAGCAGTAACATTATCCTGTTCCTTTGTGATTGTTGCAAGTAACACATGCATGCTAGTTTTGCAATGTGCTATTGTTGCTCTCTTTTAATTTAGATCTCATGCTTAGATAAGTATATCAGCCATGTGAATGAGAAGAAAAAGAAAGAAGGTGCAATTTCGGGCATCCAATGGCATATTAAACTGATAAAAAGAGCCAGTAAAGCCCTAAGGGGTGAAGAATGAATACTTTGACATCCAAAACAGTTAATGTTATTACGGATTAAAATCAATTTCACCTGCAAAGTTAAGCACAAATAAAATTACAAGAACATACCTAGTGGCATGAATAGTGCATGACATCAGAAAATTATAAGTTTCATAAGAGCTATATAAAGAGCTAAGTCCGCATTATTCCCAAAACAGCATGTAGAAGCAGAATATGTCATATCATAGAAGCAATGACAAGACGGTACCCTCAATTCATCGTACATAACTAAATCAAATACTAACTAATGTGAAGGTATTGCAAATTATCAAACATTACCTCTTGCTCATACGCTGCAGCCAAACCTTCTACTTGGACTGGCACCACAGACCCATGCACTGGCACCTGAAAAGATGTATAGTTCCCAGCAGCTGCTGCAACTTCAACGGGACCTTTCATTTCTGGCGTTGTTGTGAAGTAGTCTGAAGCCATAATTTTATTCAACTTCTCCCTCAACCCAGAATCTAGAAAACAACTCCATAAAAAGTCACATATAAAAAAGAGGTTAAAAAAATATATATATCATAATAAATTACGATTATAATTCCTCATTCAAAAACAAGCAATATAAAGATATCACCAACGAAATTTTGTGATAACAACTAAAAAATCAACATACGCTAGCCACAACAAAAACCAGCTATGAAGCACCGACACGGATGCCGACATGTAACCTTTTAAAAAAGTACTGACAAGATACATCGTCGACATGTGAATTAAATTCTTTATTTATATAATATAAATTTAGTTTTATACTGTTTATTAATTTTTCTTGTCAAAATCTTTTAAATATGTGTACCTATTCGTTATTTAAAAATAACTTTGAGTTAAAAGTATATAATTTTTTTATAAAAGAAAAAATGACCATGACAGAGTGTCCGAGGATAGTCAGTATCCGACACGTGTCGAACACGCACACACTACTCTACTTGAAGTGTCTATGCTCCAAACAAAACATCATATAAGTTCAATAAAGGTCAGACAGGTCAAAGAGGATTCGATTTCCTCCCACAGATGCATACTACGACTACCACAAAAGTAATAAAATCACCAATACTATCTCCACATTCATGAAAACAAGGTAAATATTTTTGTGCCAATCAAGGTGTGCACAGCTTTGTGATACTCAAAGAAAGGTACAAAGTAGCTGTACAAGTATCGATGGGATTTGGTTTCAATGGCCTGTAACGTAATCTACTATATAATACCCAATTATCACTAATATATAAACTCACATTAATATAGATAACACACACACACACACACACACACACACACACAAAAACACAGATAGAATTACATATGGGCATAGAACTTTTTGGTAAGGATACATACTACATTGAAATTACAAAACTTAGGAAGCAAAAAATTTAACTCCTTAGCCCCTCTTTGATGGTCTTACACTTTAAAAAAACATAGTTTTGAATAGTATTCTTTTTGGAAAATGCATGGTTAAAAAGTAAGAAAAGTTTTGGGTTTACATGTAGAATATTTCATTGTATGAACGTGTGATTGAAAATAAGTATGAGAAATAAATTAAATTAAATTAAATTAAAGGGAATCAAACAGGGGTTAGTACGTATAGTCCCACAACATATTAATATCAAGTAAAAGCTACTATGACAAAGACACATGTTCGCAACCCTAAACAATAACATTCAAAATGTATATCACACAAATGCATGCGTATTGAGACAAACGTTTATATGAATATAACATTCAGGTACATAATCTAAACACAAAATCATGCATACTGAAACTTTTATGCCATATAGAGAGTATAAGTACAATTAACATTGAAGTGGCTGCTTCATATATGCAAGCTAATGGCTCAATATATGTACATAAAACAAAAATCAACTCTAAGAAAGAACTATGATAATCCCCCAAGTATCGTACAAATAAATGAGCAATTTGCATAAAATATAAAGACACATTTTAGAGGCAATTTAGCAATTCAGTGAAATGTGTTCTTACAAGTGACACTGGAGTTGGACTCAATGGGCTGATCCGAGTTGGCAAGCCATAGCTTGGCATGCTCCACACACTTCTGAAGCGCATTCTTGTGGGACAAGCTGGAGTCCACAGGCCGTGATAGCAACATAACCCCGAGCATCGAGATCAGGTCCAAATCCTGCTCTTTCAAGGGATCCGTGGCATCATCATCCGTAACGTAATCATAAGTCAAGCAACAGTGCCTTTCATGAGTCCTCGTGAGCATATTATCGTGAGCCCTCATCAGGGTCTTCACATCAAACACGCTCCCAAAATATAGCAGATTCATCAGATCAGAAATTACAGAAACGCCCTCAGAACTCGACTCCTCTTCCTTCACCACTACCGGCTCCTCAGGTTTTCGGGTTTCCTCATCTGGGGTTGGTTTGATTGGGGCTTCAGATTCCAGTTTATGATAAGCGATGGAGATTTCCTGAGCCACAGCGTCGGCGAGGGGCTGACGGAGCTTTTCAAGCTCGTCGATACCAGCAACGACGAAGGGTTTGGATTTAAGGGTTTCTTCTTGATCCTTGTTTAGGGTTCTTCCCTGGGAGAGGGAGTCTTCCATCTGGAGTATATGATTCAGCTTCTTGCGGAGGGCACGGTGACGTCTGTTGATGAGACTGAGGACTGGTCCGTCAGTTGTCAACTCAGATGATGAGCAAGATGATGCTGCTTTCACCGCCATTGTCGTGGTTGGGGAGGAGGTCCAAATGAAGGAAAAAGCGGAGATGGTGAATTTTGCGCCGCGAACGGCGTACAAGGGTTTTGCAGAGAGAAAAAGATGGTACGGACGGATTTGAGTAAGAATAGAGGGTGAGGTTTATGGTGGAATCCAAGGGGTTAAGTGGAAATGTATTATAAAGTAAGGGAAATTAGGCTAATTAGTATGGTTTTGACCCCTCAACCTTGAAAAGTAAGCATCTGAGTCCCTGACCTATTTGAATTCGTCAATCTAAGTTCTCACGTTATGACCGTCAATATTAATGTTAAAATAAAACGTGAGAGTCACATTAAATTTGAAATACTTTTGTAAACACTAGGGAATCGAATTTGACAACTTGGAATAGATTACATGTGAGCATCCATAATCATTAAGTAAAATCAAAATTTTATTTCAATTTGTAAAATATAAAATAAAAATAGCATAAGTCGGGTAATGCCAAAGTCTAACTCAACCGTTCAAGTACTAAGAGTGAAATCATTAACCTAGGTTCAAGCCTTCTTTGTGAGGATAAGAGTGAGCATTCAAAAAATAAAAATAAAAAAATATAGATTTTAAGAGTGGGCATAATATAAAAAGAAAAAAAAATCAAGATAATGTCAAAAAATATATAAATAAATATTCTATTTAAGTATACAATTTTCTCCTTTCTATAGTGCTCACTTAAATATGAATGAATTATTTTTCGTAGAGTTAGTCTAAAGATAATCATCTTGACGTCTTTTTGTTTGTAGTGTTATTCTATGTTGAACTTGGTACTAATTCTTTTTTAAGTCCAATTATAAAGAAATTATACAATTATAATAAAAGTAAACGAATTGTCACAATTAAAAATGACTTATAACGACACGAGCAATAAAAGTAGAATAATGGTACTAATGCTACCAATTACCGTCGTAACAAGCAAAAATTGATGAAAACCAGCCATTAATATTTATTTTTCTTTCTTTCTCCCAGTATTTCCTGTCTCTTTGATATGTTTAGTTTTGACTATGATTGCTAAGAAATATAAGAATTAAGAAGTTTTGTACAGATTATCCTTTTTATTAAAATATATATGATTTAACGTCAAGAATGGGTGGAAGACTTTTTGTACACAAAATCACTAGGTTGAGGAGGTCAACACCAAAAATGAAACGTTAAGGACCATTTGTGCATAAGGGCCATACATTAGGGACCATTTGCACAAATTTTCCTCTTAGAGCCTCTTTGAACCCAATTTTATTGTAAGAATGTATTTTAAAAAAGTAGATTGATAGGGAATGTATCATTAAAAAATAAGGAAAGATTTTGAGTTATTGAGAAATGTATGGTTGAAAAGAAGAGAAAAAAATGTATTTTGAAAATAATAAAAATCATACAAGGGCTAAATCCACTTGATTTTGGAAATCATTTTTAACGTGAAATGATAAGCTTGAAATGATAAGCTTAATGAACTCTGCTAGAATTTTTATGCAAATATATACTGTTTGTGTCCCTTTAATTTCAAAAAGTGTATTATGAAATAATGATTGATGTTGAAATGTATGGTTAAAAAAGAAAGAATTTTATTTATTTTATGTGTAATATTATTTTAATGAGGAATGTGTGATTGAAAATGAGTACTGTAGAAAAAATAATGTGATAGAATGATTGTCAAACAAACGCATAAATAAATTGTTGATAGTAAAAGAAAATTGTCAACCTCGTCCACATTTGGGGTCCAAAATTTCTAAACCTCCAACCTAGCTTCTAACCATAGAACAAAAAGAAACTAGACTAATACAACCTTTTTGTCCAAGAGCGAATTAAAAAACAAAAACAAAAAAAAATCCAAGTAAGAGAGGGTTGCATCTTGTGATTTCCTCTGTTCGCTGAATTGGAGAACGAGTTTTGACAAACTTCAAGACCAAGCGAAGTTTGCAGTAGAAGAAACGAACTATGATATATCAGTTCAACATCAGGCAAGTTCACAAGAACCATAAACGCAGGGACTTTCTGTCTTGTGGCCATATTCACCTTAATAGTCTACCATTTCAGGAAGCTCGAGTTTTCCAGCATAGACATACTGCATCTCTGCCTTCCATGTCTGCAGAAGAGAGAATCATTTTCGTGAACTTACATTATATATTGATGGCTCATATAGAGTTTACGAACTTCTATTTATCTAATTATGGCTTGTATTGAGCAGGTTCGTTCATTTATTATCACCAAAGCTATAAGGGAAAAAGCAGCAGCATAGGAGAGCTACCTCATGTCTAAAGGTGATACGCACATTGGGTACATTGGTCTTGTGTATATCGTTTCCTTTGGGACCCCGCTTGAAATATTCATCTCCAAGCCAGTGCAACTGCAACAATATCCCAATCAAATCTACTACTGATAAAATCACTCAACAAATATCTCTACCTACGTATATCTAGTCATAACCTATGTATATGAAACCATATTCATTTAAGCAATTTCCTACTATCATGCAAATAAAATGAATGTTAACGAAAGTGCATCTAATATAATTATCAATTCAAGATCTCTAACATATTATTTTATCTAGCACTTCAAAATGGTATGGCAGAATAAATTGAGTACTGGGTATTCCATGATCTCCTTAAGACTAATTGAAATAATATAATCGAGATTGTTGATGACAATAGAAATAATAACTTAAAGAGGAAGAAGTTTCTTTCTTTTGATGTTCTGAAGTTCCTATATTGCATGTATAGGTTCTCAGATGGATTTTTTGGTAGACCATAGTAATGTTTGTGCGTGTAGTATAGCAGTCCTTTTCAATTAGTGAATTGATCCGTCAGAAAATGACCAAAGTTCTAATGACACATCTAACAAAGCTGTGCACATGCCTAGCCGAAAGGACGAGACAGATCACCACCGCCCCCATAAAAAATGAAAAAATCCCCCCACCCAACGCAAAAAATGAAAAATCAAGAACCCCAACGAGTAGTTGCCTAAAAAATAGATATATTGAAAGGGAGGACAAAGAAAATGGCATGTAGAATATCCAACTATCTTACAACTGGGGAACAAGGCAACTTGGTCTTTGTGATATAAGTAACTTTAGCCCATTACACGAGCTCAAGTTTCACACAAACTTTCAAATAGGCTACCAACGTGGTACATCCGTCTTGCTACTAGTGCAGATTACACCAAATGGCATCCTTTCATCTGTTTGAAGTATCAATGTGTGGGCAGAAGTATGCATTTGAATCAGAAAAGTTTGCAGGAATTTCAACTATCATGATAGCAGTTAATACAAGAAATGCTATTACCTTGGCAGCATGTGAGAATCCAGACTGATAAACAGAATATCTCGCTATCTCACAAAGGTCACACGAACTAAGCTTCCAAACCTGAGGTGAAATAATTCTGTAAGATACATACAAAGGCCATGACATATGAGGTAGAAGGGGAACAGACAAACCTTGGCTGCTACACTGTATTCTTCCACAAGAGGCTCTTTTGTGAAATGAATTTGCAGGGGATCATCAGTTGAGAGCGACACATTCAAGCCACGCTGGAAGAACATTAGAAAAGGGTTGCGATGATAATCCAAGAAAAGCGAGTTGTTGCTCAGTGGAGACATTGCCAAACCAATCTGAAAATTAATATAAGTCGTCAGCCACATCTTAAAATATAGGAAGCAAAAGATAAAGGCATGAAAATGATTATGATTGATTAGGGATTAGAAGACAGAATGATATTAGGTCACGCAATTGGAATGAACCTTGTTGACACAGTTTCATGACATAATTGCGATAAATTGCTAATAAATAAGTTTCAAGTTCACTTTACAAGTAAATTGATTTAACACACGTTTACAACAAACATGAACTGATGAACCGTTTTGCAAGCTGAACTTATCTATTATTTGGCATCACTAAATTAAAACAGATAGTAATTGTAACAAGTTGCCCATTGTTTCAACCCGTATGCACACTGTTAAAGTGGTAATATTGTCAGCCAGGTAGAGATCAATATCGAGTCAAGTAAAGGACCTGAGCAAGGTAGTACAGATATTGCAGGACTGGGGATTTCCGCAAATTTATCCCATGTGATATATTATGACACAGAAGAAACCCAGCAGCCAAATGATCAATATCGCCAGCCTGGATTAAGATAAAAATATTTTGAATATATTATGAAAAACAAAAGGAATCCAGATGTGGGACAAAGATTTCAGAAAATTACCTCCCCACAATGAGGACGAAATCTGATTGTTGGCAATCCTTTGGATTCACGAAGCTGAGAAGAAAATGAAGAAGAACATGAGAGATAGATTTCAACTTGACAAGTATTTCAAAAACAGTTCTGAAAATGCCGAAATATAAAGATAAAAGGTTATTGCCCATCTTAGAACTGCACTTATCTAGATGCATTTACCAGCATACCCAGTGTTAGATAACTTCCTCCAGAAAGGATTTTCAGTAATCACCAAGGCAATCATGCTTCAATGTTTGTCTTAGCAAATATACTCATGCACTTTTAATTTGAGTTAAGAATGTACCGACCTTATTGAGCGTATACAAGTTGGCATAACAGTAGTAAGCATAGTATGAAAAAGCAGGATTAAATTCATTTGTCCATTCAGATGGATTGGGCATGTGCTTCGTAGGTCGCCTCTCTGGTTTACTTTCATCATCTACAATGTCAAAACCTACAACCTGTATTGAAAATACTACATTAGGCATCCAATGAAAGGAACTCTATACATAAAATTCATTGGGCACGCAAAGAGTAGCAGTAAAATGGGATCCTTCCGTCAAAACAGGAAGTAAAAGAAAGAGAACTATATTCAAATGGAAATAGAAGTAAAATCAAGCACATTTCTTGTTAAATAAATACAAAAATCTGCATCAAATTTATATCGTTATTTGATCTTAGCTGAAGAGGGGATTTACCTTCATCTAACATTTATAAAGGAAGAAGAGCTAGCATAAAAGTTAAAGGTCACCTAATAAATCTTACTCTGGATAGATTTGACAGAATTATGTCAAGTTTGACCTGTTATCTTAGATGACATACTAAAAATATCTTTGAGTTCTCCCAACATATACCTCAAATATTTTACTGATAAGTGCATAGCAACTATCAAAAAATAAAGGTCACATTTGGTGCACCGGAT